AATAGCAGGACAACTCCCAGGCATCGGCGGCCTTTTGGCACTAATCTACACCATCTTCCTTATACAGCCCATTATGTAATTGCAAATGTATACATACCATTAAAGCATTTAATGTTTTTAAATAATGTATTTAGTGTATTTTCAAATAATTACAAATTAATTTTTTAATGTATTTCACTAGTTATTTTTTACATTTCCAAATACATGTTACTATAGTATTGCAACTTTTTTTTATGGAAGGGGTCCCCGAAATTGCTTTGCCCCAGGCCCCCTGAATCCTCTGGGCGGCCCTGCCCAGAGTGTGTGAGGAGCCGGGGAGGGAGGGAAGCGGGGTCCCCTGGAGCCGAGCCTGGGCTGCGGCGGCAACGAGAGGGGCTCCCGGAGTGTGTAAGGAGGTGAGCGGCCGGCTGGGCTTGTCGGTGCTGAGCAGGTAGCCCTGCAGCTGGAGATCCTCGCCTTCCCACCCGCCGGGGCTGGGCCAGGGCGCGGTGATGCTGAAGAGCAGCAGGTCCGGGGGGCTCTCCAGGTCCTCGGCCGCCAGCATGTCGGGGGTGAGGGCGGTGAGCACGAACTGATCCACCTCGGCCACCAGCAGCGCCGTAAAGCCCAGGGAGGGGGCCGTGTTCTCCGCGCTGCCCCGCAGCTGCACCCCCACCTGGAGGTACACCCGCTCCGCGCTGCCCAGCAGCTCCACCTGCCTGGGGACAGACTCACAGCTGAGCCAGGGCTCGGCCGCTGTGTGCTGGGGTGACAGGGGGCGTGGGGGAGGGGGGGAAGGGAGAGCCCAGTGCTGGGGCGGCAGGGGGTGGGGTGGGGGCACTGGTGGGCGGGGGGGGGAGCTCAGGGCTGGGGGGGCAGCCAAAAATTTTTTTGCTTGGGGCGGCAAAAAACCTAGAGCTGGCCCTGCTGTCACTCAGAGTGCAGAAACTGGGGACCCGCAAGAATTCTAAAAATTAATACTTGCCACTCCAGGCTTGTATTAAACTCCCAAGGTTACAGCTTTTCTCTGACTATGGCTTGGTAAATGCTACCACCACCCAAATGCAAAAAAAACCCTTTGAACCCAGGAAGGAGCACTTGGGAATTCTTCCCTGTGGGGTACCCTCAAGTCCTTTCACCCCCGTCCGGGGACGAGCTAAGAAAGAAAACAAAGGATATTAGCTGTGACCACCAGCTAACTAAACAACATATGCAGAAACCTCTTAGGACACCAAAAATCCAGTCCTGTTCTTAAAAAAGGTAAATTTTATTAAAAACAAAAAGAAAGAAAATGCATCTGGAACTTAGGCTTTGCTAGATTTTAAAAGAGCAATTCCAAAAATTAAGCACCAAAATACCTTTCTTGGGGGTTCAGCTTAAACGTTATATGCTAACAAAAGCATCTGGGGTTAATACAGAGGAGATCCACAAGCCAAAATAAAGAATAAACCTGATCATATTTATCTAAACGTTCCCTAACCAAATGATTCATTCTAGGTATTGAGGATAATTCTTCATACTTGTTTCAAAAGTTACACAGCATTCCTGCTTATAGCATTGCTGTTCTGCCCCTGCTTCTCTGGAGAACAACAGACAAAGGGAAAGTTTCTTTCCCATTTTCAAAAGTTCTACCTTCCCATTGGCTCTTTTGGTCAGGTGCCCACTCCTTTTCTTTTACCTGTGGGCTTGTTAACCCTTTACAGGTAAAGCAAGCAGAGAACAGAGCAAGAGGGATTTTACAGCTAACTGGCTGGCTGGGTGTCCATCAAAGGGAGCTACTCTCCCGCCTCTCCCCCGTATCACAACTCCAAATGGATTTAATATTTCGTTTCTCATTGCAGACAAAAATTAAGAGATAAAGAAAATGAATATTATGAATATCATGTCACAACCAGATGTAAATCATACTTGAAGCTTTGTTGGACAGGATGGGCACACACAGTCAGCACAGACGTGTGTTAATTATAGCAATGAAGACAACAAAATGACAGTAGTTACAACAAAACTCACCAACAGGAAATGTTTATCACGCAATGATAAAATTTTTATCAGGAAATGTTGTTAAGCTATTCAAAATATTTCCTGACTAACTTTTTTGTGTGGAAAAACTTATCTGTAGGGCTAGGAATAGCATTTTGCAAAGAATTAGATAACAGGACATTTACAGAATGGTTATTTTCTTAGTAAATTTCCCCTCCAGTTACCTGTTTCTTGAACTTTGCTCTTTGTATACATTTTGAGGTCCAGTTCCTTTAATAAACAAAAGACGTTTGCAAAATTTACCATAGTATTCCTTGAAGTTTGCTTTACAAATGTTAAAATCAGAATTTTAAGGAAGTCCTGAGTTTTTCCTTTATATTAACCAATTTATTCAACCTATGCAACCATGCATGAAATTAGGCCCTGCTTCCATTGAAGTCAATAGTAAAACTCCTATTAACTTTAATGATGCAGGATCAACCCATTACTGAAACATATATTGGTGCAAAAGTTCAAAAAAGGATGTAGTCAGACTAAAGACTTAAAAATTAGTAAAAGTATCAAAATAGGTATATTCAAAGGAGGGAAGAAATCAGGAAATTTTCCATTGTGACATTTTTCCCAAACCAAAATATTAAAGAAGTTTATTTCTTTGAATTATAATTGTAATTTCAAAACAGTAGTAGGAAAAGTTTAGTTAGGTCTAAATACAATGGGTAATATTACACAATTACAGACTGTTCCACTACAAAAGCAGTTAATGAGACAAAGACCCTGTTAAAGACTAACATTATAAGACATCTCTGAACCAGGCAGTAGAACATATGGTTCTTGTCCATACATGTTGCTTTATAAACCATACTAAATAAATCATAACCAGATATTCTGTTTTCATAATGTACCACTTAGAAAATAGAATGATGGATTTTTCATAGATTCCAAGGCCAGAAAGGCTCATGGTGATCATCTAGTCTGACTTCCTGAATAACACAGGCCATAGATCTTCCTCAAAATAATTCCAAGATCATATCTTTTAGAAAAACATCCAATCTAGAAAGAATACCTGTGATCTGTCAGGTTCAGTTGGTCTGTGTTAACCTTTTCTCACAAGAGTCAGGGTTCCTAGATGTATAAACTTTTTTTTATTAGTGGTAGTGTTTGTCTTGTCTTTATTTATCGCATTTTAGAGATGTAGAAACTGAAACAAAGAAGTCAGTTGCCTGATGCTATAGAGGGAGCCAGGGTGAGATCCACAAAGGGACAAAGGCATATAAACCCCAGATGTAGGCACCTAGGGTCCAGATTTTTAAAGGTATTTGGGCATTGCTTCACTCAGTGTTGCAATGCCTAACTGATTTAGGAGCCTAAGTGTCATTTTCAAAGAGGATTTAGGCAAAAGGGACTTTTAAAAATGAAACAGGCTTCTAAAACAGGTGATGCAATGCTGAGCACAACAATACCTAAATATCTTTAAAAATCTGGGCCTTAAATCCCAGTTTTAGGCACCACCGCTATCCACAAAATCCACTCTCTGCTGCCACCTAATCCTGTAAGCACCTAAACTCAGTACCTAAATTTGCACTGTAAATGTTCCCTCTGCATCTAAGTTTCTGCCTCTGGACACACACACTGATGCCTTACCCTATATGTACAGATGCCTATCCCATGCCTAAGTGTGAAGTGAGGAAGAATGGTGCTGTAGAACTACCCTGGCATCAGCACCAAGGATGACAAAACAGACAGTACCGAAGGCATCAATACCGATGGCTGGTCAACATGAAACCATTTTGAATGGTACAGGTCAGCACCAAGGAGACTGGTGGGTATGGTACCAGCTTCATCCTTGATCACTTAGGAAAGTGTCTAGAATTATGACTCTGTTCTCTTCTTGTTTGGTATTGGAAACTATGATCAGTGGCAGTTGTCAGACTTGGTGCTTTGCTCCTTCCTTCCATGGGCAGTGTGGGTAATTGACTACTCGGAGGGCATCTGAGACAATCTTAGAAGATTTGGAAGAGGAATAAGATCTCTTCATTCCCCAGGAACCCAGAGTGATGTTTCTCATTGAGGGCGCACTCAATGAGTGGGGTTTTGATAACAAAACAGGAGACTCTTCTCTTGGAACAACTTGAGAGCCAGATGCTCCTCTCCTGGATTTCTCCATTACAAATAGGGTCAAATGCATCTCTCTGGATTTTGGGGTGTGTTTTGATTTGCAAACTACATATCTTGAGGTAGTGTGAGGTTCCCCTAAACAAAAAATACATTTAACGTGCCCCCCCTTTTTAAAGGCATGGCAGTATTGCATGATGGGCAGGTATTAAAATTGCATGATTTTGATTCAGCTCTGGTATTGGGACTGACTAAATCTAACTAACTATGTATATATATATACTTTTTTCAAACAGGCTAAAATAAAGTATAAAAGAAAAATCTACATCTGAATTCCCTAACAACTAAGTAACTATAAAGACTACAGTAGCTAAGAGGACGCTGAGGGTGTGCTCCTCGCTCCCATGGAAGGTAAGAAGGAATCGGGTGGAGGTTGGGGCCATGCTGCCCTTTATGCCATCAGAAGAGGAGTGTGAAAGTATATAGGGGGTATGTAACAGCCCCAAGAGACACTGCTAGGCAAAAAAATTTGGAACTGCTATGAGTGGGGCACATGTGCAGCAAGACCAGGATGCACATGTACCAATACTCGAAGAACCAATCCTTTTGGAACCCCACTAAAAACATCCTCATTCAATGATGATTCCCAATTAATTACTTTTTGAGATCTATTAGTTAGCCTGTTCTTAGTCTATTTAATGTGGGCTTGATTGATATTGTATAGTGCTATTTTTTTAATAAACAAAGAGGAAGCAGAACCTTGTGGGGAATGCTATAGTGTTTTCCTGATTAGAATGCCACAAAAAATTATGGTTTTTATCTTGCAACTTTACCTTGCACAAGCCATTGTGAGCAGTTCTTAAAAGTGAGCAACTCTTTATACCCATACATCACTCTCTCTCAATTTCTCTAGCAGGAACCAATGTGAGTGAGCAGATTGCTTAAAGTCATTGGGTCACAGAAAAAGAGGGTTAGCGACTGAATGACTTTATAGTCTAGTGGTTACACAGGAGGTAGGAGACTCAGGGACCACTCCCATGATCCAATTCCTTTAATTATTTATACATAATTAGTTGAACTATTTCAACAGAATAGACTGAGGGAACCTCACATCAAAATATCCCATAGCTCTGTGATTAGAGCATTTTCCTGAGAGGTGGGAAATATCCTGTTCAAATCCTTTCTCCCCACCAGGCAGATAGGAGGGAATTGAATCCCGACTCCACACATCTCAAGTGAGTGATCTAACTATGGTGCTAAAACTTATAGGGTGAGCACGGGAACTGGCACCACCTCCTGTGGCGGCCTGATTTTGAATGGGACCTAATCTGGTGTGCGGCCTCAAAGCATGCCTACCAAATTGAGCCACACAGGTGAGATAGGCAGGCAAAGGCCTGTCTCTCCCCAGTACGTGGCTCACTCTGTGACTTCGGCAGGAGATAAACATCCAGGTGGCTATAGGGCAGTAGCAGTGCCTATACTTAGGAAGGAATACTGCAGAAAGGGATCTGGGAGGTCATAGTGGATCACAAACTAAATATGAGTGAACATCCAACATTTTTGTAACGCTGTTGCAAAAAAAGCAAACATAATTCTGGGATGTATTAGCAGGAGTTTTGTAAGCAAGACAAGAAATAATAATTCTACTCTACTCCATGCTGATTTGGCCTCAACTGGAATATTGTGTCCATTTCTGGGAACCACATTTCTCTAAATTGGAGACAGTCCAGAGAAGAGCAATCAAAATTATTAAAGGTCTAAAAAACATGACCTATGATGGGAGATGGAAAAAACTGGGTTTGTTTAGTCTGGAGAAGAGACAACTAAAAGGGGACATAACCTTTTATGTACTTAAAAACTTACAAGGGAGAGAGGAAGGGAGAAAAATTGTTTTCGTTAACCTTTAGTACAAGAAGCAACTGCAGCAAGGGCAGTGTAGGTTTAAGTTGGATATTTGGAAAAACTTCCTGTCAGGATGGTTAAGTACTGGAATAAATTGCCTCGGGGGGTTGTGGAATCTTAGACAAACACCTGTCAGGGATGGTTTAGATCAGGGGTCGGCAACCTTTCAGAAGAGGTGTGCCGAGTCTACATTTATTCACTGTAATTTAAGGTTTCGCGTGCCAGTAATACATTTTAACGTTTTTAGAAGGTCTCTTTCTGTAAGTCTATACTATATAACTAAACGATTGTTGTATGTAAAATAAATAAGGTTTTTAAAATGTTTAAGAAGCTTCATTTAAAATTAAATTAAAATGCGGAGTCCCCCAGACTGGCGGTCAGGACCCAGGCAGTGTGAGTGCCACTGAAAAACAGCTCGCGTGCCGCCTTTGGCATGTGTGCCATAGGTTGCCTACCCCTGGTTTAGATAATATTTAATTCTGCCATGAATGCAGGGCAACAGACTAGATGACCTCTCAAGGTCCCTTCCAGTGCTACGATTCCCTGATTCTATGTCCAGAGGCTGACACACAGGCACTTAAGGAACTTTTACAGCAAAAATTTAGGCGCTGAGCGAGTTTACGTGCCTACAGGGTTGGGCAGCAGCTGAGTGAGGGGTTTATGGATCGCAGTGCTTCCTAAAGCTGGGACACTGGCTCCTAAATCAGGGGGCTAGGTGCCTAAACACCTTGTGGATCATCTGGGGCTGGGCTCTACATCCCACCCCTAAGTGGTGTCCCTCCCATTTCTTGTTACCAAAGCTGTTTCCTTGGCACCCCACAGCATATTGTTTCTTGGGGGGATACATTGTTTGTAGCCCTCACCCACATTTGGAGTTGCTTTAACTTGGGCTTCACCCACCATTTCGACCCCAGGAGCTGGGAAAGTGTTGAGAGGCGCTGACTGTACCCCAGAGCCCAGGGGGATGCCCCCTCCCATGGCAGAGGGTGCGCCGTGGCAACATCCATCCCTGAGCCTGCAGCCAAGAGCTGGTAGCCACCTAACAGGGCCAGACGGCTGCGGGAGCCGGGGCTAGGTCTCGCCCGTCTTGCTCTCTCCCCATTGGAGCTCCGGGGCGGTTGGGCGGGCCGGGCGTGCCCGGGCAGGGGGCCAGGCTCCCCGCACGCAGGCACTGGCAGAGCTAGGCCAGTCTGCTGAGGCCGATACCCCCCACGACTAGAGGAGTTTAAAGACTCCGCCGCAGCCAGCCTGTGAACGGTGGGAAGCGCCAAAACGCTCCCTCCTTCCTCCCCCGCGGGCTGAGGACGCGCCTGAGCAGAGCGGCACCTACTCTGGTCTCACTGAAGGGGGGAGGAGGAGGAAGAGGAGCCGCCGCCGCCGCCTGGGTGGAAGGTAAACTGGGGAAGGGGTGCCGCAAGCGCCTCACGCCCCACCTTGGGCTGCGGCGAGAGAAGCCTGCGCGCGCCTTTGTCTGGGGAGAGGCGCTGAGGGCGCGGCGCGGCGCGGCGGCCGCTAGCGTTTTGAGAGCAGCGGCGCAGAACGTTCAGTTTGACAGGAACGTTCCCCCGCCCCCTCTCGAGCCGCCCGCTGCTGCGCCAGCGCCACCCGAGGGGGTGGGGGAGCAACGGTCGCGACACATGGGCGTCGGGGGGCTGGGCAGTTGCTGGAAAGAGGCGTGGCGGGGGGGCTGCCGCTGAAGCCGTCAGCTCAGCCTGTCTCGCTCGGGCCTGGCCTCCGACTGCTACAGCAGAGAGCTTCTTAGGGAGTCCCAGTCCCCCCGCCCCCACTACGCCCCTTCAGCGGGGGGAGAGTCGCGGTGGCTGGGCCGTACGGTCAGTGAGCGGATCTGCAGGCAGCCAGCGGGGCCTGTTCTGACCCGTGTTTCTGAGGTACCCGGCCCTGGCGTGGCCGCAAAAAAGGGTGTCGCGTGCAGGGCTCCTCCAAACTAACCGCTGCCAGTTGGAAGGTGCCGTGTGAAGTGGAGGCCAGGAAGCCCCTGCCACTGTGCTAGGGAGGCAGTGGGATGCATTATGGTTACAGTGGCTCAGCCTAATTCTCTGCCTCTGCAGAGGAAGGTGGGGAGCCCAGTGAAGGGCTCTGGGCCGTGGTAGCACCTCACTGAATGCTTCTGCCTTTCAGGGGGTGTGTGGAGGAGGCTGCTGGGCCTCTGCCCATTTGGGATGTTGTGGATTGGCAGACAGCCAATAATGTAACAATATTGTTCCTGGGCTCAGCTCTAATGCATGTGATTTGTAAGGGAGAGCACTGTTTATTTTTATGTGGCCGATGCTGCAAAAATTTTAGAGGCCCAACTTGAGAAGCCAGTTCCGACTCCACTGTTCGTCAATTTCAAAACATCCTCTTCCTCAACACGCTGTACTCCACTCTGCAATGAAACAGAACTATAATAATACTGATCTTTGGGGGCAGTTATTCTGTTTTTGCTTTAGTACACCTTGCCTATTGCTAAGCACGGTGTAAACTTGCAGCACAATATAAAGGATTTGACTTGTTGGAATTTAACTGTATATTGACTCTCCCATTCTATTTCATGGCTTTTAGTAATTTAGGCATGTTTTTTCCCCATTGGCAATTTTTTGTGTTACGTAGCTGTAATGTGTGAGAGGCCTTCACAGTTGGCCCCAGTTGTGGTAGTCGTGTTGTCCAGCCTGAACCTCACAAAGGGCTAGGTTACAATGGCTTGGCCTCAGTCCACCAGAAGAGGGTAAAGCTTTCTTGACAGTCATATGGGAACACATTTTATGACATTGCTGCTATCTCAGAATCCAGGATCAGAGATGGGGAAAACAGGAATTGCCATACTGCAGGGGTCGGCAACCTCTGGCACGCGGATCGCCAGGGTAAGCACCCTGGTGGGCCGGGCCAGTTTGTTTACCTGCCGCGTCTGCAGGTTCAGCCGATCGCGGCTCCCAGTAGCCACGGTTCGCCGTCCCAGACCAATGGGGGCTGTGGGAAGCCGCGACCAGCACATCCCTCAGCTTGCGCCGCTTCCCGCCGCCCCCATTGTCCTGGGACGGCGAACCGCAGCCAGTGGGAGCCGCGATCGGCCGAACCTGCCGATGCAGCAGGTAAACAAACTGGCCCGGCCCGCCAAGGTGCTTACCCTGGCGAGCCGCGTGCCAGAGGTTGCCAACCCCTGCCATACTGCATCAGATCCATGGTCCGTGCAGTCCATCTGCCTCTGACATTGGCCAGTACTAGATACTTCAGGAAAATATTAACAAAATCCTCAAATGGGCAATTATGGAATAATTTACACATGGGAAACCCTCTTCTTATCCCCTTGCTTAGATTCTGGCCTGTGCCCTGAAGCATGAGACTGTCAACTGTTTTGCACAAACAAAATGAATCCTTACGATTGTAATTCTGTTATCTTTAAAAACATCCAATCCTTCTAAGCTCTTGGCATCAGAGGTTCCAGCTAGATTCTGACATTTCACATCTTGATAAAGAGGAGTAGAGTAAATGCCATCCATTGAAGGGAGTAAGCACAAACACTGTTGACTTCAATGGTGTTGTAGTAGTATAGCACACAGAATGTAGGTAGTACTTCAGTTACTTATTGGTCACACAGTGAACTGTAGTAAATAAATAGTATTGTTAGCACCTCAAATGCCCTACCTAGTCCTATGGCTCTTATGCTTGCCTAACTCCCACTGAAGTCATTGTGGGTTTTGCATGCATAAAGGCATCAGGATCAGGACCTGTGCTAATATAGATTTGTCCAATAAATATCTAGTAAGACAACTTTAAATCATTAAACAAAAAGGAATTCAGATTTGAGGTGATCCACCCATTGAATCTAGATTTTGCAGGGCTCAGACATTTGGAATTAAAGTATTGACAGACCATATGAGAACTGACATGCCCTGATACAAAGGGGTAAATGCAATCTTCAGAACATTGCAGAGACCTGAAATAGTCTTTTACTGAAATACCGATATTCCTAAAAATCTATTTTCCTCTGGGCCAATGGCAATTTAAATGTGAAGTTTGAAGCATGGCATCTGGAGTTAAAACAAACAAAGGTCCTGATAGTGCAAGGAGCTGCACGTTAGCAGACACTTATGACCATGCAGAGCCTCACTGAATGCTTCTAAAGACTGAAAGTCTGGAGAGTACTTCTGTTTATATTAATTTGAAATAACATTAAAGCAAAAGAGGACTGAATTTTTCTTTTTAATTTTCAAATAGGAGCAAATATTAATATTGAATTGATACTTTACAATTAATTAAAAAAATAAAAGTTTAACATTTATTGATTAACCCAGCTTGCTACTAAGATTATATGGTAAAAACAATATAGTTGTTTGCATTTTCAAGTGGTAGAACCAGGAAGATAAACATATTTTAAAAAAGAAGAAAAAAATGAATCAGCATAAAACAGCTGCCAACTGGGTAAAAAAATTGCCAGTGGGGGGAAAAACATGCCTAAATTAATTAAAAGCCATGAAATGGAGTGGGAGAGTCAATATACAGTTAAATTCCAACAAGTCAAATCCTTTACATTGTGCTGCAAGTTTACACAGTGCTTAGCAGTAGGCAAGGTGTACTAAAGCAAAAACAGAATAACTACCCCAAAGATCAGTATTATTATAGTTCTGTTTCATTGCAGAGTGGATTATAGGGTGATGAGGAAGAGGATGTTTTGAAATTAACGAACAGTGGAGTCGGAACTGGCTTCTCAAGTTGGGCCTCTAAAAAATTTTCAGCATTGGCCACATCAAAATAAACAGTACTTTCTTTTAAGATCAAATGTATGAAAGCTGAGACCCGGAACAATATTGTTATATTATTTTCCCAAAAGGCAGATCTTATATTAATAAATTAGTTATTTTTATTTTGTGATATTTAAGAAAGATCTGGATAAATAAGATTCCTGGACTAATCATAACCCTTTTTCTCACTGCTGGGGTTACTCACTAATTATCTGAAAATGACCCCGTTGTAACCCCAAAATATTCTCTTACATATTAAAATCATTCTTGCATTTAACTTTCACCATCTGAAACACTGCCTTCAAAAAGAATGTTTACTCTTGTAGAAAGAGATTGTGATATTTTAATTTGAATTTGTAACTTTTAGCAATATGAGATTTGTCTAATTGTAATTTTCTAGACCTTCAGATATTTACCTGGAATTGTCTGTGGATCAGCTTGCTCAGACAGACCCACAATTTCTATACAAACTTTGTTACTATTTTCAATAGCTTCTGTCCTCTGTACATTTATATTGCCTTTTTTACATTATTCATCTTCTGCTTGGTAGTGCTTAATTGATTATCTTTTTCTTCTAGTTTTTTCTAAAGCTTCTTATTTATTACCAAATGTATCTTTAATTTTTGCCACAGTCAAGTAGGTGGAAATCTATTACTTAATGAATTATTTCATTTGACTAGAGGTGGTTGAAGAATAGAAAAAAACATTCTACACTCTGAACATAAATAACTTGCCTCATCTCAGTTTCTGCTACCCATACATGTAAGTCAAGTAATGAAAATCAGTTTATTTAAATCACCTCTCTGACTTTTACTCTTTCTTTTAAGAATTCTCTCTTTTTTTAAAGCAACATTATTTCTTCTGGCCTTAAATGTAGCACCACAAACTGACATTTCTTTGTAAACCATAAAAGGAGGGAAAGAACAAAAAAAGGATTGTTCACAACATTGAGTTTTAAAATCTTATTCTTAGCTCTCTTCCTGTCCTGTTGTTTCTTGGGTTCAAAATATTAGTAGCCTCTAACATCTTCAAACCATTTCTAATATGTTTGTGATATTTCTAACATGCCTATCATAGCAGTATCTAAGGGTATATCTACGCTTGGAGCTAGCTAGGATTGTGGTTCCCAGCTTGCATAGACATATGTGCACTAGCTCTCATTGAGCTAACATGGTAAAAATAGGCTTGCTCCCTGGATATGTGACCACAGGGTCCCAAGGGAGGGTGGGGGGGTTGCACTCAGGCTAGCTAGCCCGTGCCACCACTCACCGCTGCCTGCTCTACTGCAGCTACACTACTATTTTTAGTGTGCTAGCATGTCTACACAAGCTGGGAATCGCACCACTAGCTCCAAGTGTAGATGTAGCCTATATGGTAAAACAAAGATAGCACTGAGCATGCCTTTAAGGGCAATAGTTTGACAGTCTTCCTTGTTCCTGGTATGCATGTGTATTTTCTTTTGTTTGTTCTTTTCACTGTGTGTCTCTCTTTCTCCCCCCTCATTCCCCCCCTTCTTTCAGTTTCCCTAGCTACTGGTTCATCCTGGGAAAAGGTGTTTTCAGATAGGTGAGTCTTGCAATAAGTTGCAGGTTCAGGACCTATACCTACATTGACTTCAGTGGGATCTGTTCACAGGGATCAGCCCACATAATCAATAGTAGGATCAGGGCCTTACATTTGAATACAGTCAGGATTGGGCTCCATCTGATCTCTGACAAGCTATTCTGCAGCTGAAGTCTTGCCTCTGGAAAAAATAGATTGTGCCCCTAAACCTGTCTTATCCTGGGCCATTCTAATTGTAGCATCCCTGTAGCGTGTTGCTGCCTTGCTTGGTAAAGGATGGATATGTATTTGGTATTTGAAGTATCTTAGATGTAGCCTGTAAACTGCCTTTAAAATTAATCTGGAAAGGGACAACTAGCCAGTGGAGATTGTGAATTAGTGGCTCTTTGCCACTGATCCAGTCTATGTCCAGGAACAGTAAGGAATTCAAAAAGACCCCATGGCTTTGTACTTTCTTGACGGATGATGTTTGGATGATCTCAATCAAAGGTGAGATCACTGTTCCAGTAAGTTTGTCACATTTTCCCCCTCTTTCTAGTAACATCACTTCCATCTTATCAAGATTCAGTTTGAGCTAGCTGCTCTTCAACCAATTGCTTATTTCTTCCAGACTCTGGAACATCTTGGTAATGGAAAATGTCATGTCAGTGGAAAAGCAAATGAAGAGCTGTGTGTTGTCAGCTTATTGTTGACATTGGAGTCATGGTATTTCACTTGTCTCCTCAAGTGTTATCATGTTGTATGTTGAAGAAGCAAGATAATATTGAAAAGGGAACCCCAAAATGAGTGGTCTAGGAAAGAAGGAGCCCCTCATTCTCTGTGATATGTTCAATAGGAATGAATGAATGAAGCCACCCGAGTACTATTCTGTTTCCTCCTGCCACGTCCTTTATATAAAGCTAGCAGCACTTCATGATCAAAGGATGCATAGAATTCAAGAAGTATTGGAGTAGAGGTTTGGCCCTCTTTTAAGGACATCGGTAGGCCATTAATTATGACTTTTTCCTCATACTTCTTTTTCCCCCAACTCTCAACCAGTGGTTATAGGCCCTATATAAAGAAACTGCAATCTTGTTTGTTTTAGGAACCATCCATAGAGACACCTGGGTGTGATCAGTGGGATTCACAAACACTCCAAACAAGTGGGAGGAAAAACTAAACTGTATATCAAAAAATTCTGCTCACAAGGAACACACATAGAGGGATAATTTATAGAAATTACATTACAAATAGAAATTAGCTCAATGGATCTGATCAAATATGTATAGTAAAATGCTGTTCTATGCTCCCAATTGAAACTACCTTGTATTTGGGTCCCCAAACTCAATCTTATCTGTTGTGTAGAAGGCCCATAAGTAACTTGTCTAAGGCCACATGGTGAGTCAAGGAGAGACCCAAGATTAGACCGTAGGAATTCCCAGACCTAAAATCAATCCACAAGAACATGCTGGCTCTGATATTATACATTGTAGTTGGGTTCCAGATAGGAGTATTTATGTGGGAGACTAAAATATATTATATGAATACATCTGTTTGTATATGTGTTTCTGCTAAAATAAAATGCTGGTGTGTTCACTTAAGAACTAAGTCTTTAGAATAAAGTTTGCTGTTTCCTGCTTCCAGCCCCCATGTTCTACATAATTTATTGGGAAAACTGAAAGTTAAATTGTGACTAGATCTTAAACCATAGATCATTTTTCCCTGCATCTTTAGGCATTCTCTTATGTTGGTTATTTTTAACGTAACAAAAACTAGTATGCAAACAAACGTCGTCTGTTTTAAAGTAAGGGATCTCAATTATTTTATGCATATTTTAAGATTTGGTAGATGAGGATCTCTGATAACATCTCGGCAACAGCTAAAATTGTATTTTCCTGCTGTAACTGTGGTTCTTGAATATTTATTTTATATATATATATATATATAAATAATAAATCAAGAACCACAGTATATGGTATAAAATATATATATTTTAATGTGATTAAAGTATTTTTTCTTCTCTGCCTTATTTTGAGTATTTAGTATTTATTTTTCAGCAACAGTAATCTTGCTCAGGTAATTTGATTTCCTAAGAATACACAAGACATGTGGTTACAGATGGATCATCAGTAGTACTTTAAAATATACAGGTAAAATAATTTTTGACCAAAGTGGTGTCTCCATGTTACACTTTTTTTAAAGGACTCAAGTGAAACAGTTACACTGGGATATAATATTTTAGAAAGAACACCTTTTATGCAAATATCTAGAGACCAGGGTGTATTTTTTTCACTAAACTTTTCTAAAAGGATTCTGATAAAGGAACAACCCCCTTGTAGTTGGGGGAACCTAAGGCACTCCAGGAGGGCTCTGTGCAGGGGCTTGCTGAACAGCTTGCAGAATTTGTCCCCAGAGTAAAACTTCCTCACAGATATTTAGGGTAAATATTTTTTTTCTGCATGGTGAGGAGGAGTTAGTGTACTCCTTTTTCCTGGAGATGAGGTGAAAGGTGTTCTACCTCACTGATCTTCTCTTAAAGATGAAGAAGACGGGGGAGTGGAGAATCTCTTTCCGCCACTGAATTAGAATAATGGTAATTGAAATGGATCATCCTAAAGTATGTGGACCTTTACTAATGAATAGAAATGAATTTGAAGACCAAAGCGCCATGCTTTGTTCTAAACATAATCAAATTACAATATTCCAATCCAGTTGATGAATAGCATTGATTTATAGGTTTCAGTTCAATCAGAACAAAGGCTGAGGGGATATTATTGTTCTGTATAAATACATCAGGATGGCAAACACCAAGAAGGGAGAAGAGCTGTTTAAATTACAGGGCAATGTTGGCACAGGAACAAATAGGCATAAGCTGTCCATGAATAAATTTAGTGTGGAAATTAGAAGAAGGGTTCTACCCATTAAAGAAGTAAGGTTCTGAAATAGCCTTTCAATAGGAATGATGAGGGTAAACGACCTAACTAGTTTTAAGATTGAGTTTGGTAAAATTATATGACAGGATTGCCTGTGAAAGCAAAGGTCTGGACTTGATGACCCAGGAGGTCTCTTCCACTCCTATGTTCTTAACCTTTCCAAAATGTAGAGTTCCATATTCACACTTAAATTGGAAAATCTAATCCATAATTCATGACTGTACTCTTAGGAAACCTGTCAGTAGTATAAATTAACTGTATTCTAGGGAATCCCTAAATATCTCCTGTGGGACATATGCCAGGGTTGCTAAGAAGAGTTGGAAGACCGAAAGGCTAAATACTACATAAGGTCCAGAATTAGCAAGTTACTCTAAGCATCTGAGTAGTCCCATTGGATTCAATGTGACTACTTGCATGCTTAAAGTTAGGCACGTTCTTAAGTTAAATGTTCACATACGTGGCACCCTTCACAAACATAATGTACTATTATTTGTTTGTGCATTGGCAGTACACAGTTTCTAATCAGGATAGATGCCCTGTTGTGTTAGGTGATATACAAACACAGTGAAAAATCCAGCGGACAAGCATAAAGTTAACTGCTTTTGTTTTACCCTATTATGACTGGAAAAAGGAGAGAGGGGGAGATGAGACGAGGCTAAAGTGGAAATAATAGGGTATCCTATGGAACATAGGATGAAAGTCACATTGGGCAAATGAAGATAAACTCTTAACATTAGCATTCGATCTGTACAATCTGTTCTTATTGTTGATGCAAGAGTTGGAAAGCACATAACTTGACATTCGGATACCAGGCTGAGTTTGCAGAGCTGTCGATTTTCCTTGTAAACTGAGAAAATTTTAAGGGAATCATTAAACAATAAAATCTGAAACCCAAAAAGCCATTTTATATCTGTAAAGTCACTTTTCAGAGGAGACCTGTAGGGAACAGTATCTGAGAGGGTTATGTTACACAGGGCATGATATGTGCAATAAATCATGTTTTTACATCATCATATCTTTGTTTCCAGGTCAGCTTTATTCAGCTTTAGAAAAGCACATAACTATCACTTTAAGCATTTGTATTAGCCAAGTTTTAAATTCATTCTTTCTATTAGAGTGCATAAAGGACCTAGAAAATTACTTTAAGCATTAAATACACTTTTTCCTTCCCATTCCGAGTCAGATACCTGAAAAACAGATTACAATTTCCAATTCCCCCCCCCCCCCTCAAATCACCATTGCGCTAAAAACTAGCCTGAGAATATTCAACTCAACGTATTGGAAAGTTATCTTTAGCCAATTTCAGGCAGTTTTGAAAAAAATTTCAGTGGGAGAGCAGCAGGCCAGGGCCGCCCAGAAGGGGGGGGGGCAAGTGGGGCAATTTGCCCCAGGCCCTGGGCCCCACAGGGGCCCCCACGAGAATATAGTATTCTATAGTATTGCAACTTTTTTTTATGGAAGGGGCCCCCAAAATTGCTTTGCCCCAGGCCCCCTGAATCCTCTGGACAGCCCTGCAGCAGGCCGGAGTCCCTCTTCATAATTTTACAGACCAAATGCCAAGAAGTTTGTCCTGTCCTTGATCTCCTTCTTAACACACACGTTTTAGTTGAACTAAAACACTTAAAATGTAGATAATTCTATAAGATATAGTCACGAGGAATATTAACCAAAATTATTTCTCTGCAGGCTGGTGGTACAGGATCAAGTCCCTATGGAGGCTGAATCTCCTGTTTCCCATGGAGTCACTGGCAAGGTCAGAGTTGAGCATCACAACAGAATATCAGTTTGTTTTGTGCACGTCATGGTACATTACTTGTAGATAAAGAAGTTTAATTGGCTGCATTATAGTAGTGCTTTAATAAAGATTATGAGAGAATCACAAGACCAAGAATTTAGATAAGCAGCATTTCTCTCACAAGTGTTAATGTTCTTATCTGATTCAAGAGAACGTTAAACAGAGGAGCAGTATATTTTCATTAAGTAGTTTGACTTGTTCCCCTGGTCTACAGAATCACCTTAATTTATCATGAAGCTCCACACTAATTCATTCTGGCCTAGTGTTTTGCCAACACACATCTGTAGGAATTAATTATTTTACAGTGATGTGATAACTTTCCCCCAGTCATTTTTTCATCCTAGGAGTGTAAAACTGAATAAAACACTTAATTCAAGTTTGGGAGCATAATAGTGAATTTTTAAAATTAACTATCCTAGAAAGAAAACTGGGCTAGCCAGTTTCTGTATAGGCTGTTAAGATCAGATGGTTTGAAGAAGTATTGAATGATCCAATCCTGCACTGGTTGTGGAGCAGTGAATATGAAAACTATATTCACAAAGATAAAATCTCCCTTAGTGTTTGGACTTGCTTGCAATTTTGGTCTTTAGACTCCTCAACAGCACAGGGGGTGGGCAGTCAGAGAGTCCTTCCGCTAATATCTTCTTCAAGTACTGTACCTATAGGTTCTCAACGTCAGGTGTGCATGTGACCAATGCGTCTTTGATGGAAGATTTTTGGTAGAAATGCTCATACGGCCTGCACATGTGCCCTACACAACCACATGCCCTGTACCCAAGATATATAGAGCTGCTCGGGCAACCTCCCCATCCCCCAGTTCCTTCTCATCACTTTGGCCTAGGATCGATCATTTAGCACGCCTGCTTCTATCGTTCAAAAGTTAACTTCTGCCTTTAAGTTTCGTTAGTACAGTTATTTACTTTTGTACTTTTTATATGTTTCATTTTGTGTGAGGGGCTTGTTTAATACTAATGATCATTTAACCTTACCCAATCATCACCATAACATCGGATGTATTTCTTTTGGACTGGAGAAGGGGTTGCATTTAGGGCGACACACCATTCAGGGCAAATGGCCTGCCCAAGAAGCACTTTTACACTTCAATCTTTTGGAGCTGCGGGCAGGCAGGAATGCTTGTGTTCACTTCCTCCCATTAATCAGGGGGAAAATCCGTGACGGTCATGATAGACAACATAGTCTCCATGTTCTCCATTGCCTGTCAGGGAAGTGGGGAAGATCCTTTTCTCTTTTGTAACAAAACAATAAAGCGATGGAACTGGTGTATGGCCAATCATACCCTAATTTCAGCCACCTACATTTCAGGTGTACGAGACACCATGGATGACAATCTTAGCAAGCACTTCTTCCAAGATTACAAATAGGGGTTGGACTCTCAGATTCTTAGTCACATATTACTGACCTCAGGGTTTCTTGCGGGTTTCTTTGTCACCATCACCAACAGGAAGTGCAAACAATTCTGCTTGAGCAGAGGATTGAGCCTCCATTCACTTGAGATGCCTTCTTTGTTCCATGAATTAAGGGTCTTTTGTATGCATTTCCTCCAACATATTTAGTCCTCAAATTGGTAAATAAGATCAAGCAAGATAAAGCCAAGACCACATTAGTGGTTCCAAAGTGGCCCAGACAGGTCTGAAACCCTTACTTGATTCTCTTTGCTGTCTCTCCGCTGTTGATTCTTCCATCCATTGCTCACCTGCTCTCTCAGATCTCTGGTCAGACTCTCCATTCCAGTCTGGGAGTTCTTCATATCAAGGCTTGGCTACTCAATCCTTCTCAGGAATAGACTCTTCCTTTTCTGCAGAGGTATCACAGGTGTTATTAAACATCAGGAAAGTGTCTACCCAAAGTACTTACCTTCAGAATGGAAGAGATTTCAACACTGGTGTGTCCGACAACAATTTTCACCCGTTAATTCTTCCCTCTCTGCTAACCTTATCTATCTGTTGGAATGATAAAAATCTGTGAGTTCCATCAGGGTTCACTGGTGACTCTAAAGGCCTTTCGTTCCTCTGTTGAGGGATTCTCAGTGTATGCTCATCCAAGGGACTGAGAAACCTTTTTTCTTACATTATGTAGGCCAGTCCTGTATAGGATTTAAACTTGATAATTAATTGTCTTATGAAACCCCCTCTGAACCAATGGCCACTTATTCCCTTCTTCACCTGTTCATGAAAATGACCTTTTTGGTGACCATCTCTTCCCCCCAGAAGAGTCGGGGGCTTTAATGGCAGATACAGGCAGTCCTCGACTTTACAACGTTTGAGTTACGATGAACAGCACTCATGATGTTTATAAATTGTCATCGTGTTTTGATTTTACGATGCTGGTTTTGACTTTACGATGCTCAATGTGACATTGTTCCTATGGGAAATTCGAGTTACGACGTTTTCAACTTATGACGCGATATTCAGGAACCAATTGTGTCGTAAGTCCGAGGATTGCCAGTACTCCTTTTACACTATTCCTCAAGGAAAAGTTTGACTATGACTACATCCTAAGTTCCTTTTTAACGTGACTTCTGAATTTCACATCCACCAAGTCATTCATCTCCCAAGTTATTTTCCCGAACCCACACCAGTTTAAGGAAGATGCTCCCTTCAACACTTTGGACAATAGGAGGGTTTTATCTGGACAGAATCAAACCATGTGGAAAGTCTCCCTGACTATTTATTTTGATTGTGAACAGATCCAAGGGGTCCACAGTCTCCACCAGAGTCTCTGGAGGTGGCTCTCAGAATGTATCCTCATATTTAACCTCCTTCTAGGATGTTAGCTCATTCTACGAGATCTCTGTCTACATCTGTGGTGTTACTTAAACAGGTTCCTGTTCTTGAGATTTGCAAGGCTCTGACCTGGACTTCGATACATACCTTTTCCAAGTGTTATGTGGTGGTTCATTTTTCTAGATCAGTTTTGTCTTCAGTATTAGACTCAGCTCTGAAGTTCCCTCCTCCTGATGAGAGTTCTGCTCTGAAGTCACCTGAAATGGAGCACCCATAGGAACACTAATTGAAGGAGGAGAGACTACTCATCTTGTGCAGTAATTGGAGTTCTTTGAGTTGTGTGCTCCTATGGGTGCTCTACTACCTGCCGTCCTTCTCCTCTGCTTCTGAGTTTCCTTTGCAGGACTTTGCGGTAGAGAAGAAACTAAGGCTGGTTCATCTGCACAGCCCTGTCTATCCTCATTATGGGACACACGGATGTGTAGGACACATGCATGGGTCAAATGGGCACTGCTACTAAAAATCTCCCATGAAAGGTGCATGGGGCACATGTGCACCTGAAGTGGAGCACCCATAAGGACACACATCTGAAAGAACTCCAGTTTACTGTACAAGGTGACTAACCTCTCCTACCTGAATACTTGAGAAGGACCATTACACATTATCAGAAAAACACATGTTAAAAGAGTGGATTATCTTAAGTGGAGTTATTAGATTTTCAGGCCAGGGGTTCATACAACCTTTCAGACTTTTTGGAGAAAATTAGATGGGGAGTATGGAAGGTAAAAAAATGAGAATAAGGGAGCCACATATATCATCTCAGTCATTTACTGGGTCGAACATATCTGTTAATTCCTAAAACAGATTTCTAATTAATTCATGGGAGTTAGTAAGTTGTATTAAAGCATCTTTATTTTTATATTTTACAAGGATTTTAATATAACAATATTTTTAATGGGCAGTTTTGGTAATGCTTTTTTTCCCATTGTTTCCTATGATGTATGATTTTAGTTTTGTAAGTAATGTTAAAGAAATGCTATAATTTTCATTACATTTTATATAAGGGTATCTTTGAGTGCCTCCAGACTAGGGATGTTATTGAAGAGAAAACCACACCATTACTTGTTCTGACCCATCGCTGGGCAGATAGGAGAGAACTGAAACACAGACTCTAAATCTTTAAGAAACCAGTGTCTGTTTTCGCGAAAAGCCACGAAATTTGTGGAGATGGAGATAAACCTTGGCTGTCCTTTAGAACTTCAGGCTACATCACATCAGCAAATGCAGCTTGGAGAACAGTCGGTGACATGATGAAAAGCAGTCACTTTAAGAGTCTGTGATATTAAAAAATAAAAAAAACTAAAAAACTGCACATCAACCAAACATTGACATTGAAATATTACCATTCTGACCTAATTGGACAAACATTTCACTGGTTTTGTGTCCATAAACAAATGCTAAACAGTACCCAAACAAGGAATGCAGAGCACTGAAGGCATTTGGCCAATGTGTTTATTTATAGAGGCATTCAATATTATTTTGACTTACTGTTTGGTGAATGTCTTTAGGTAAGGTGCACTGAAAAATAAATAAGTCTTTATATCAGTTCTTCTTTGAGTAGATGCATACATGTATTCCAAGTAGGTGTGTGCGTGTGCCAGAGGTGGAGACTTTTGCCTAGCAGTACCCATAGAGGGGCAGTGCTTGTGCCTCATGCCTGTAGTCTCTCCCCGGCTAGATGAGGTGGCGCTGCCCCGAGTCCCCTCAGTTCCTTCTCACTGCCTGTCGGCTGTAGTTGGAGCTCTCTGTGGTTGTTGTGTCACAACCTTGCAATTTATCTTCTAAGCCTAGTATTATTGAACATAGTTAATAGTCTAATCTGATAGTTACATCAGGAATAGTTACATCTATTCAACTGGACAAGTACAGCACCGGCAGCAAACT